CAATGTAGACTATTGCATTTTAAGCAACCTTTAGCATTTTAGTACAACAGGTTTTCAAACTAAACGTTTCTATCTCCATTCCCTACCCTTAGTGTTGCTTTAAATAAAACATCGGACTGTTCTGCTGTCAGTCGAAACCCTGATTATAGATTACAGAAAACAAGAGCATCACACCAGTAAAAAGCCTACCAGGTCCTAACGAGGTTAACAAGCTCTTTAAATGTTGTAACGAGGAGCTAAGAATAGTTGGTCTTGTTCTTACCGCGGCTCGTAAACATGTTCCTCCCATTAATCAAACAAAGCAAAAAACTATAAAACGTTTGAGCTTATTTCCCCACACCTGCTTTGAGCTTCATCATTTTTATAAAACACAATTTATTACTATAGCTTTTAATTATTTATTATTATTTTTTTTTTTGTGTGAAAATTATTCAAAAAATGGGGATTTCCTCTGACATAATTTTTTAGGTCACTGGTTGATTGTTCAACTAATTAATTAAAGTTACAGTAGTTTTAGAAAGGGAGTGAGATTTATCATGAACTAAGCAGATATAAGCTTCGACTTGTTGGATGATAAAATTTCAAAGGAATTAAAATTCCTTCTATTTTTGTTATGAAGTATCTTCTAAATTATGTTTAAAAGAAATTTGCAATAACTGCCTGGAAGCAAATTTTCACTGAAGTTTAAAAGAGTTAAACTGACTGTTTTCTTCGGAGCCAGGGCTTATACTTTAATATGGATTATATTCAGTCATACTTTGCAGTCATACCTGACAAGCAGAACAAACATACAGAGATGATAGAAATGCTATTAAAGTAGAAGACAGTGCCTCCTTTTGGTCAAAGTGGAGAAAAGCACATAGAAGAGCCAAACAGAGTTCCATTCTCAGTTCAGCGTTCAAAAGACACATCAAATCCCTCGTTAAACAGGCTTCTATTTGATGGTAGTTACCATTCAAAGCAATTTAACACGCAGTTCAGGCTATTTTCCAGCGATCCTTTGAGAACAAAACATTCTTTTTGGCCCATACATCCGTCTTACACAATCAGCCTTCAGTTTGATCCCCAAAAAACATCCAGTCCCTCTTTGACCTTTTGACCTCATCTTTTTTCCTACTTTCATTTTTTTTTAATCATTTTGTTCATTTCTTGGAAATATAAAAAAAAAAAAATTCCCTTCTTCCTAAACTACATTTTCTATTTCTGTAGGCTCATAGCTTTAATTTTGTGGAGATGCATGCCGTATAGCAGCCTACATCCACTGACCTGCATGGCAGTAAACTAAAGCAGTAAGGTTATTTTCTACATTCTCACTTATGAGAAAGCTTTTTATCTAATGAATTCATGAATAAAACAAAACAACATACCATCAATCATCCATGCAGTTGTTGGAGTATTTAGAAGGTTGCATTGGATATTCAGTTTAGAGGATCTGAAATCTACTTTCCAAGATAAACATTCTGTTTGTTTTTATAACTGTTTTTAAAACTGTTGGGTAAAGATCAGATGAAGGAAAATGTATCTGCTCAATTCCTGGTGCTCATTAATCTTACAGATAAGTAGCACTTTCCACCATATCTATGAAACAGTGAGGATATTAAACTTTCAGTACTTCATACTAGGCTGCACTGTGTTGCAGTGGTTAGCACTGTTGCCTTGCAGGACAAAGATTTTTGGGTTTGATTCCTGGCCTGGGGTCTTTTTGCATGGAGTTTGCATGTTCTCCTCGTACATGTGTGGGTTCCCTCCGGGTACTCTGGCTTCTCTAAATTGTGCTTTGGAATAAGTGTGAGTGTGCATGGTTGTGTGTCTTTGTGTTTCCCTGCAACAGACTGGCAACCTGTCCAGGGTTCACCCTGCTTTCACCAATAGACTGCTGGAGACAAGCACCAGCCCCACCGCAAACCTGACAAGGACTAAGCGGGAGAAAATGGATGGATGTACTTAATACTTTCTACTCTGCATGTTAGCAAAATGTGCAAGCAGTTTTCTTATTGATCATTTAGAAAATGCTGATATTCAATAAAGCGTATAAGATTACAGTTGCTAACAATTGTAGTTAAATTTAGTTAAATTCAAGGAATTGTCAAATTAAAGTTTTTTTTTCCCATTTAAAAGCCAAAAAGTAGGATTCTGTCCATAAAACAAGTTTAATCCCGAAATGGAACGGTTATTTTTGGCCTTTATACTGTTGTTTTCTGCTAAAAGTATATAAAAAACTTTTAATAATGAGTTTGATTTGCCAAAACTGTTGATTTTATTTAAGAAAAGTCCTTTCTTCCCCCATAAATTAGAAAATACATGCATTGATCATGCATTATTTAAATAATGCACTTTGTTTATGTTCAGCTAAGACAAAATGTCTGGTTTTGATTTGAAGGTCATTCCAAAAATGACTGAGAATTGGGAATCTTCACCAGCAGGTTTGAAGGTCACTGAGTTTTGGCAAGCAGTTTTTTGCTTGGATTATACCCTTGACTTAAAAAAAAACCCAACACACACTGTAAAAACGAAAAAGTTAGTTCAACTCAAAATTTCAAGGTAACCGGCTGCACAGAATTTTTGAGTTGAAGGCATCAACTTATTAAGTTGTGTCAGCTAAGTTTTTCAAGTTCTGCCAACTAAGTTTTTTTTAATTCAAGTAACTTTCAAGTCTGTAAAATCTTATTATTTTAAGTTCAGATTATCTGTAAAAAGTTATTTTAAATTCAGATTACCATCCCCTGTAATAACTTACATTTTTGAGTTTGAATCCCTCCCATTAAATCATCCAATGACAGTAAACCATCCATCCATTTTCTTACACACTTGTCCCAAGTGGGGCAGGGTACACACAGGACTAACAACCATTCATGCAAACACTCACACCTAAGGACAATTTAGAGAAGCAAATCAACCTAACGGTCATGTTTTTGGACTGTGGGAGGAAGCCGGAGTACCCGGAGAGAACCCACACATGCTCAGGGAGAACATGCAAACTCCATGCAGAAAGACCCCGGGCCAGGAATCAAACCCAGAACCTTCTTGCTGCAGGGCAGCAGTGCTACCCACTGCGCCACAGCCCTGTCAGCAAACCAGTTAAATTTTGCATGTTTATTTGAACCACTTTGGCAAAAACAGGTTTACAATTCCACAATGTACACAAGTAATCTTATGCTTAAAGCAAATCAGGTTTTAGCATATATTCTTTTACTTTCCAACTCCTGTTAAAACCTTACAAATAATGCAATATTGCCAGAGATAACAGGAAACCAGTGCCTTGGTCTTCTCTTGGACGAGTCCTCAGGGAAAGTTACCGCCAGCAGAGTGACCAAATGGCTGAACCAAACTTTAGAAGGGAGCTCCTGGGAAAATCCATGGAAACCCTGTAGCAGCCGGTTGCCATGACAAATTTGAAATGAGCATGTGCAGATAAGTTGACCTCGCTCGGACTGGGTGTCAACTACAACTTCTAAGTAAACTCAACTTAATTTATAGAATAAGATGAACTTTTCATCAGAAACTTATGAAAGTGAGTTCAACTGGCTCACAAAAGACAGTTCAAGTTCCAACTGGCAATTTTTTGGTCAGTGAATGCAAAAATCTTAGTAAGGTGAACAATTTTGAGTTGTCGTTTTTACAGTGCTGCCTCAACGGTTGTTTAAAAAGAAATGCACTTGGGCAACACTACCGGTAGTTCTCCTCCTTGTCATTCTGAACCTTACTTCATGCACTGTTGCACAGAGGAAAAGGGGGGTGCCTTAACCGTCCCCACAAAGCTGATAACATGGAATGGTCCAAAATCTCTGGGCATGCTGAAACTTAAGAGTTTCTTCCACTTAAGAGTCCACGCCCACCTCCTGATAAACAACCCCACAACATCACCCTCTCCCCACCAAACTTGGCACAATAGAGACAAGTACACATTGTGAACACGCCTCCATAGCTGTAGAGTTCAGCAGGAGTATGCTTTACTCCCCTGCACCCAGTGTTTTGCATTGCACTTCCTGCTGTATGGATAGAATGCAGAAACTTCATGTAGCTCTCTATAGCTTATCTATGATCATGCAGTTTTTACATATGTGCTGATAGACTCTGCAGAAGTTTCACTTAGTTGCTGTCATTTCAAATCTACTTCTACTTTGTTATAAAAACACTTACAATTCACAGTAGAATATTTAGAAACAACATTTTTAAACAGGATTTGTTACACAGGTGGCGTCCTATTACAGTAATACATAAGAGTTGACTGATCTTCTGAAAGCAACAAGTTCTTAGAGAAAAGTTCATCGAAACAGAATTATTTTATACACCTTTGGCCATAGACAGGATTAGAAAGAAAAATGTAAACTATATTTTGTAACAACCTGAGAAAAAGAAGGATATAAATTACTAGATTAAATTAAGAGAGTCTTCAATTGTATTTTGTTTATAAGAACAAGCGAGGGTGCCACTAATTTTTACCTCTGATAAAGTGACCTTCAACAAGCGTCACTAATAAAAACATCAATTTGGGTTTACTAGAGGAAGTGAATAAGATTTTTCTACACATTCAAACTGAAAGTGTAGATTTAGCATGAGTGACATCATGGTACAAAACATCCTTCATTGGAATTGAATGAGTAGTAAGTGAAAAAATATGCAGCCATATTTGGTCATTAAATCCGGCACACATGTTGTCATTTCAAACACATTGAGTCAGCGGCGCCGGAGAATGTGGCTCCACCCACCTTGATTTTCAGGTGTGACTGCTGGAAGAAAGATGATCGATAAATAATAAAATCTATTGTTTTTATTTTGAATTTTAGAGCTTTGAGATTAATCATCATTAAAAGGTTAGTTTTTGTTGGAGGGATGTTTTCCGCTAAGCTCAATAGTTTAGACTGAGAGATGGTGAACAAGTTGTAGTATTGTTCAGAGGGGTGGGGGAGGATCTGCCTCTCAGGGACTGATGAGGGTGTGCTGTATTTCTCCACAGCTCCTCCCCCTCATGGCTTATTTACCTGCTCTCCTCTGAATCCTGACCCATTCAGCAAGCTCATCTGACGCCAAAGGAGCTCAAGGAGTCAAACAGCCTACGTCCAGAAGAGAAAAAGAGAGAACTTCAAAAGCACAACGAAAGAAAAGATTCCACCATAATGGTTTCTACTGGGTTTCAGATCCTGGGCTCTGCTCTGGGGATCATCGGCTGGATTGGTGCCATCATCGTGTGCGCCCTTCCCATGTGGAAAGTCTCGGCTTTTATCGGCAGCAACATTGTGACGTCGCAGATCACCTGGGAAGGGATCTGGATGAACTGTGTGGTCCAGAGCACGGGCCAGATGCAGTGTAAAGTCTACGACTCAATGCTGGCCCTCAGCGCTGACCTCCAGGCGGCCCGGGCCCTCACTATAGTCTCCATCATCGTGGGCATCTTGGCCATCCTGCTTTCAGTAGCCGGGGGGAAGTGTACCAACTGTGTGAAGGAAGAGTCCAAAAAGATCAAGGTGGGCATCGCTTCCGGAGTCATCTTCATCATAGCCGGGGTTCTCTGTCTCATCCCTGTCTGTTGGACGGCCCACACCATCATCCAAAACTTTTATAGCCCTATACTGAACCAGTCGCAGAAGCAAGAGCTGGGGGCCGCACTCTACATCGGCTGGGGTGCATCTGCATTGATGCTGATTGGTGGGGGGATGCTCTGTAGTAACTGCCCCCGCAATGATAAAGATGGCTACTCTGCAAGGTACGCAGCCGCCAGATCTGATGCCTCGGCTCCTGTTTCCGGAAAAGACTATGTTTAAAGCAGCTCTGGAGAATTTTACTGGGACTAATGAACTGGTGCTGCTGGGTCAGGAGTGAAAATGATAGAACGCTTCATCCTGATAAGAACCACACCCAAAGAACAAATTTCCTTTGACGTGTTCATTACTTGTATTTATGGTGTTAAATGATGTGTGGACCTTAGTATGCATTTCTCTAGCTTTATATTTACATCACTACGTCTCTTTCTGACTGTAACTATTTTTGAAAGCTCTGTTTTGGTTATTTTATGTGGAATATTACTCATCAGCCAAGTGTTTTTTTTTGTGTGGTAGTTGTTTTGTAAATAAAAATGCTTTTGTTTACACCTCTGAGTCAGTGTGTGATGTCACAACAACATTTTCTCAAAAAACAATCTTTCACTGGAGTTCATGAATGATGTAATTGAAATATTTTATAAGCTTTCTAACAGTAGATATTTTGAAATTTATCCTGATATTTACATATTTAATGATTGACAAAGGTTTCAATCAAAACAAAAGCCCATCTGAAAAGAAATAGCCGCCCAGCAGTGTAAAGACGCCCTTTGTTTGTCTTTCCTGTTGATCAGGTTTAGGTGTGGCTGGAAAATCAAGTAAGATGAGTGCTGACCGCCTTTGTTTAAATGTTCAGCCTCCGAGCAGGGGAACTGAGACAGTCAACATCTGAAGGGCAGTTTTTCAAGTTATTAGCAGAAATATTCACACCTTATCTTTATTTATCTTAAGTTCATTGTGTTTCTCTACACAAAACAAACAATATAGGGTGGTTTTTTGTGAAGAAAAGGTTTCTTTGAAAATATTACAGGTAAGCTTTTATCACACAATGATTTCAATTGTCTAAGCCATGTCAGGAGCGTGAACATTTCCTTTACCAACACCATGAAAAGAGGGCTTTGTTAAACCTAACCCATTCAGATTATTAAACCAAGGTAAAAGGTGTTGCAGTCTTTTTGATCCATCTTTTAAGTTATTATTAACCCAGATTATTTCATTTCTTTTAGAAGTTAAGAACGTAATTCATTCATATTTAACAGATTTTTCTTTCTTCAACCAAGACATTCTTTCAAATAGGTAATGAGCAAGATAATATCTAATAAAAATATACAAAATTATACATATATACAAATTTTCCAAACTATTTGTAACCATAATAACTATTGTAAAATAATAAATTAAAACATGATTTATTGGCTGTACAGCAATGAAAACCTTCATATGTTAAATGTTTTTTGTTTTGTCTCCTCTGGTTATTTTGATTATTTAATTTGGGTGATAAGCTCCAATTGTTTGAGGCGTCTGTGCCGTTGCCCGAGCATTTTACTCCCTCCTCAGTTTGATATCAGGCAAAGCAACTAAAAAACATTCACATGAGTTTAAGTCAGGGGCCACATGTAATTTAAATCAGTTTTTAAAGGTTACTTTTAACCTTTAATATCTTCCTGGTCCTTCCTATTAGTACCTTTTATAGACTCTGAAACAGAAGTGCTTTAATAATAGACACAGGAAAAAATACAATAAATCATAGAATGCCAGATTAAAGTTTACAATTGTTAAGCTTAAGATCAATCAGACTTTAGTCTAGAACAGCGGTCCCCAACCACCGGGCCGCGGACCGTTACCGGTCCGTCGGTCATTTGGTACCGGGCCGCACAGAAAAAAATATATATTTATGATTTATCGACGATCAGAGTCTGAGTGATGTTTTATTTTGAAAAATATAAGACATTGGGGTATTATCTCCCAATTACATCAATCGGTGCATCTGTGCCTCTTGACACAGGTTAATTCAGGCATCCTACTGTATCTATAACATCCTATCTTTGTGAGGCGGGATTTTCTGCGGTTACAGCGACCAAAACAGAGTTAGACTGGGAAGACTGGACATCAGGAGCACAATTCGTGTGTCATTGTCTCCGATTACGCCTAGATGGGACGGTTTGTTTCGGAGAAACGAGCTCAGGGCTCCCACTAATTCAACACAATTGTGAGTTTTATTTTTATGCTGTTTGTATTTGATTTTATGCCAGTCGTATCATTTTATTTGATCATATTTACCTCCCACACTTTAAAGGCTGGTCGTTGAAAATATTGTCTGAAAAAAGGTTGGGGACCGCTGGTCTAGAAAATCCATCAAATTAGTCACATCTTGATAGACTGAGTGTGAACGTCGAAGTTCAAGCATGGAAATGACCAGCTATAATGTCTGCTGATGAATAGAAATTGTTATTCATTAAAAAGCACAAGCACTTACAAAGTGCAATTTGTTCCCAACACACTGGTTCAACCAAACCAACAAAACAAAACAAAATTCTAAAAATATTTTAGGAAAAGCATAGTTTTCTACCCTTAACTTGAGAGAGAATAAACTTTTTTTTAAAGCTGTGCTTAGATACTGACAGCAAGATTGTGACGCTCCAATTTGTACCCACATTTATTTCAGTGCATTTCTGTTTCATCATATTATATTTTAAAAGTTCACTTCTTAAGGGATTCAGCATTTTTTAACTACTGATCAAGAAAATAATTTGAAAATGATGGAGTGTTAAATATCAGTTTATTTACTGTTCAGCTATTTATGAAGATTTGATCCTTCTGCCATTAATTGTGTGTTTGCTGAATTTTATGTGAATCTTTATTGACAGACCTGATCACATTTCATCCCAGCGCTGTGTGTCCCTAGCCCGTAACATCATCAGCAACCCCTCACACCCCGCCATGGACTGCTGTCCCTGCTGCCCTCTGGGAAGAGGCATCGCAGCATTGGATGCAGGATCAGCAGATTCTGTAACAGCTTTTTCTTGACTGACATTAGACTTTTGAACTGTTGAAAAAACTCAAAATCATGTTGCAAATCGAGTCTCTGAATCACACTGATAACATCATTCTTACACTACATAGTGAATCTTCAAAATAAAACTCAACTCAAATATTTTTACTGCATTTTGCACCATCTATATTTATTTTTGTACTGCTCTGAACCTTCGACATCAATGCGTTTTTGCACAATGTTTCTCCCACACTGTTTACTTTTGATCACTGCTGCACTTTATGAATGAAAATGTTCATTTCCCTGCTAAGCTGCTCCTCATTTACTGTTGGAAAGCTGGATAAATGAAATTTATTTTTCTATACACTCTTTGTATACAAAATGACAATAAAGTGTGTCTTAGTCGAAAATCTTAGATCTTTCCGAGCAACCTTGTGCTACCAGATGTTATTAAATAACTATCAGAGTCCATATAGAATAATGCTAGCATGTTGTGGAAATGTTTGATATAGATATTGATGCTTGATATGGAGCAGAATGCACCGTTTCATGCTTGTGATACAAAAGGGAAGCTAGCCAACTATTTGGGGCCTAGAGATAAAAGGATAAAAAGACTGCAGAGCTGCAAACAAAACAGCAACAGCTGGACAATATGATTCGCCTGAAGGGATCTATAAGCTCCCCCATGAAACTACCAAATGCAGAGGCTAAAATATGAAACACTACGGGCAACGAAATGATTGCAGTACTAAACAGCCACCTTAAGCAACAATCTTTCAGTTCAACTTACTGATTACTACAAAGGCTGTTAATGTCTACTTTGTTAAAGTCTGATCTGCTCCTGTTTGGCTGTGACTCCATCCTGAAGAGACATATCAGCTGTCCTGCTGCCATCAACACCTTTGTTTATAGATATAGTCATGTTTCACTAACTGTGACTGGTTGGATGTGCTCTCTTCATCCTATGACATGGGAGCTGGCTCGGAGCTCGTCTGCCTGGCTGTGTGTTTCCTGGACGGGGCCGCCTTTTACAGCTGCCTTTTTTTATCTCTGCTTCTGTCTCCTTGAACCCCAGTCGGCCCCGGCAGATTGCCGCTCACACTGAGCCTGGTTCTGCTGGAGGTTTCTTCCTGTTAAAAGGAAGATTTTCCTCTCCACTGTCGCTACAAGCATGCTTAGTGTGAGGGATTGCAGAAGAGAAAATGAGTCAATACAATCAACTGGTTTTCCTTAGATAGAAAAATTTGAATCAATTTGACTGGATGATCTGGTGAACTGGAAAGTGCCTTCAGATGACATGTGTTACGAATTGCCGCTATATAAATAAAGTGAAATGAAATGAATTGAAAGAGACATCCTTATTGCACAGTGATTAAAAAAACGTAAGGCCTCAAACCTTTACAGTTTTTTTTTTTTTTTTTTTATAACTGAGAAAGGATGAGTTAAAAGAAATAATAAAATCAAAGCATATGGCATTTGTATGGTCAAAATTTTAGCCTAAATTAGATAAAGCAACTAGATTCAAGCCCCTATCATTTCCAGGATTAGTCCACTCTTCTACCAACTCATATAGGGTAATAAAATGTTGGTGTCCTACAGACTCTAGTCTCAACAACAACACTTCAGACATTCCCTTTAATGCATCTTTAATGTTCCTGGCTGTAAATATGCAGTTATCAACCCTGGAGTAAAGAAAAAAATATCATTGTTAATTTCTCTTATCTGGATTTGTCCTTTTGTTGAAGAATCCATCTTTAAGCTTGTTTTTAAGCTAAATCTACAGCAGTAACAGAAGTATTCACATTTGCTTGAGGCCTAAGCTGACCTAAATGTGTGTGTGTTTGGTTAAACACAGCTGCAAACTAAGCCATTGTTCCTAATCTTGAAGCCTTGCTTTCAATAACAATGGGTTGTGTGTAAGAGTCTGAAGATATCAGGGTTCAGCTTTCACCCACCTTTTGTCTATTAGAACAGAAACTCCACCCAGAAGTCTCGACCACAACGGGAGCTATTTATTGTCACACAACCGAAACTTTCGAAGGTTCAGAGTGGAGGAAGCTTATCCAAAAACAGGTGGGACCACGGAGCTGTAAAACCCCAAAAAGAAGAAAAAAATTACTATTTCACTCTTTTGGCTTCATCATGGCTTCTCAGGGGCTTCAGATACTTGGTATCCTGCTGTCCTTCATTGGCTGGCTGGGCACCATCATCACCTGCGCTCTGCCTATGTGGAGGGTCACCGCTTTCGTGGGGGCAAACATCGTCACCGCACAAGTGATCTGGGAGGGTCTGTGGATGACCTGCGTTGTCCAGAGCACAGGACAGATGCAGTGCAAGGTATACGACTCCATGCTGGCTCTACCTAGTGACATGCAGGCTGCCAGGGCTATGGTGATCATCTCTGTGATCGTAGGGGTGTTTGGTATGCTCATGGCCGTTGTTGGAGGGAAGTGCACCAACTGCATGGAGGACGAGGCGTCCAAAGCCAAAGCCTGCATCGTCTCTGGGGTGATCTTCATTATAACAGCCGTGATGATCCTCATACCCGTCTC